TTTTTTAACACTGGCAGGACTGGAGCTAGGGGGCTCAGTCTAGACTGTGGAAGAGCTCCTGCAGCTGGGGCATTCCCTTGCACACCCAGCGGAGAAAAAGAAAATACTGCTTGGGGTGACCTGGCTGAAAGTCCTCAAAATGCCCCCAAAGTAGATAAACAGGAAAAAGGCACCTAAAGGTCACATGCAACTTCAAAGGAGGCTGGCCCTTCTGATGTGCATGGATTACTGTGGAGTGAGTAGCCCAACATGCTTTCAGGGAAATTTGTTTTGATGTCTTTGCCACCTCATGAGGCCTTAACCCCGGACCCCGGACCCCTTCCTAAATCTGCTTGGCCTTTCAGAGTCTCTGTTCATCTATCAAATGGACACAAGGCTTCCAGCTGCTGCTGAGGGATGTTCAGAGAATTAAGCCAGATGGCAAGGGCAAGTACTTAGCCTGGTGTTTGTACATAGTAGCTGCTCAATAAACACCAACCATCTCCTATCAGTATTGACCTCATGGTCATTCTTTTTGTCTGGCTGATTTTTTTTGAGACAGGGTTTCGATATGTAGCCCAGACTGGCCTCAAACTCAAGGCAATCCTCCTCCTGCCTCAGCCTCCCCAGTGCTGGGATTATAGGTGTGCACCACCACTCCTGGATGTCACTGTCATTCATACTGATGGAAGGGGGCAGCTGAGGAAGCTTGATTTAGAGCCAAGTCCTCTGGCGGGACAGGTCCTGGAGGGACCACAAGGGCAAGGAGTCCCAGGGTTCTATGTCTGCAGGAAACATCAGGCCAGCCAGGGGTCACCCAGCATGTGAGGCTGTTTGGTCCCTGTGGGGCTCAGAGGCTGCCAGGTCTGCTGGCAGATGGCTCTGCCACGGGGAGGCCGAGGCCACAAGGAAGGGACGGCTGGGCCCAGCCCCGCCCAGGCGGCCGCCGTACCTTTTCGCTACACTTTCTGATGGTGGCCGTGAGCTCACTGACTACCATATCCACACACTTGATACTGGGCTCTTTGAGCTTCTGCACCTGCTTTTTCACTGTGGCTTCAAAAGCGAGGTCAGGTGTGAAGAGGCCCGTCCTGCACCCGGGGAGGACGAGGAGGAGGAGGAGGATGAGGAAGAGGAGGCATTGGAAGAGAAGGAGGAACAGGAGGAGGGGGGGAGCGGGTGGGTGGGGAGGAGGGGAGTGGAAGCCAAGCGGGCGGGCTCCGGGTTGGGGGAGGATGGCACAGGTGTGGGGAAGAGACACCGACACAGAGAAGGAGAGAACAGAAGACAATGTGAGCATGGGACCCTGCCCTCCCTGCCACCACCCAGGGCGCACCTCCCAGGCCCCAGATGCCATAGGGCTGGGCCTGGGCGCCTGCTCCATAGGGAGGAGATCCCTCTTGGCCCCAGGGCTGCCCTCTTCTCCTCCAACTATGCTAAACACACACTTGGTTTTCCAGACCCATTTTTGTCTACACCTTGGGTCTTCCTAGGGAGCTGAGCCAGGCCAGGACAAGGCCAGGACCCTGTCCCCCAATCCGGCTCAGCTCTAGGCTTTCCTGTGAGCCCTGCCTTTGCCTCATCCCAACTCCAAAGCCCAGGACTGTTCCCTACCTCCCCCAGGGCTGCTGTGTCTAGGTGCCCAGGCTGTGCACTGAGTAACTCCAGGGGGCTCCACTGCAGACTACGTCCTGGAGCTTCAGCGAGTAGTCTGGCCTTCACGCTCCAGCTCCCTGCCCTACTCTGGCTCCTGCCTCTCTTCCCAAGGGAAACCCTTGCCTTTCCCCAAAGGGCTCTGGCAGAACTCAGCCCCAAAAGACAGAGAAGAAGGAAGACAGAAAGAGTGGAGGTGGTGATAGAGATGGGCTGGGGCAGCAGTGGGGCAGAAGAGGGAGGGAGGCTGGGGGTGGCATCCGTGAGTCCTGGCCTTGGGTGTCCAGAGCTCTGGCTCCCAGAAACAGCTCTGGCACTGTGGGAAGCCTCAGCTCTCTCACTGTGAGATGGCGCCCCCTCCCTGCCCTGGCCACACTGTATGGTAAGGGGGTGGGCGGGCTTGGGGGAGATACAGCAGAAGGGAGACAGCTCTGTCCCTGGAGGGCTGGATGTAGATGGAAGGGGAGGCCTGAGTGAGGGACCTGAGTGAAGGTGTATGACAGTGGGGGATGGAGGACACCAGTGTCATGGTATACACTCATCCTGGAGCCTCTGCAGGCCTCTGGCACCCAGGCTTCCAGTGCCATGCCCAAGAAGGCCCTATATCTCACCTGTCTCCAGCCAAGGTTTCTCTAGGAGCTCCCCACCCTGCCAGAGACCCTAAGAAGACCCACCTTTGTGCAGAGAGCAGCATCCCCAAGCCCTGGTCTCTCTGAAGTGGGGGAGCTCATGGTGTGCGCTCAGGATCAACACATCACCCCTGCATGCCCAATGGCCAACTTGTGGTCCTCGGGGCTGGAGGCGGGGCCCCCTTGCCTCCCCTACCCCGCTGGGGTCTGTACATGCTGCCGCAGAGGCAGTGGGGACACGGGGATGTGGGGTGTGGAGGGGGAGCGCCTGGCAGCAGTGCACGGCGGGGTGGAGGCGGGCTGCTGGCGGGCGGGCGGGTTACCTTCTTGGTGCACTGTCTAACGGTGCTGATTAGCTCCGAGATAACCATGTCCACACACTTGAGACACGGTTCTCGGATCTTCTTCACCTGCTTTTTCACAATGGTCTCAAAGGCCATGTCTGGGGTAAACAGCCCCGTTCTGAACGCCCAGAGCAGGAGAAGGGCAGAGTGTCACAAGCCAGTGCCTGCCACAAGTGCCAGGCCAGGCCCCTCCCCAGACCCCTGACCTGTGCCTGGAGGAGCCCTACTACCCTTTCTGGGCCTCAGTGTCCCCATCTGTCAAGTGGGTAGGGGATGGTCAGGTAGGGGTTCCCACTGGTGCTCTGTGGAGCAAGCCAAGGTCTACATGTGTCTGTGATGTCTGTCCTGCTTCCTTCATCTGGTACCAGGAATCTCGGTACCAAATTCGGGACCTTGCGCTTGCCAGGCAGGTGCTACACTGCTGAGCTATCTCCCTGGTCTGTCCTGCTTCCTCTGATGTGTCCCTCCAAAAGGTGCTCTGGCCCAGACGGTTCAGACATTGCCAAAATGAGCTCTTCTTAAGAGCCTGTCTAGGAAAAGAGCTTTTCATCTGCAGATTCAGCAGAAGTTGCCCTCTGTCTTAACCTACGCAGCTACTGGTGTCTAAATTCCATGCCGAAGCTTGGCATTTAGCCTGCACAAATGCAGGAACACAGGGCCTCAGTCACTGCCTGGTGTACAGTAGGTGCTTCAATTTTTTTCTGCTGCATACATTTATTGAATGAGCACAGTGCAGATCAGGGTCCCTGAAGAGGGCCCTAAGTTCAGAATGAGTGCAGTTTGTCTGTCTCCCAGTCCTTCCTGCCCTGTGGGCCTTAGGTGGCCTGGGAGGAAAGTGGGTAGGGTGGGCTGGCTTGGGGGAGGGTCTGCGGGTTGAGACGCTCCCACTGTCAAGGCTGAACCCCACCTGGGTGTTGGGCCCAGACCCCGCCCAGTGGTGTGGGCAGAGGTGTGTGACCCAGGGGCTGCTGCTCCCAGGGACAGCAGGCTGCAGGGAAGGGGGTGGCCCAGGCCTCCCATCCACATCCTCTGGCTGGAGTTACGGAGCTGGGAGCTGGGAAGCTGGGGAGCAGGCCTCTGGGGCCTTTCCCAAGGGAGCCCCGCTTCATCCCTCCCTGGGGCTTGACACGGACTCCCTGCTTCTGGGGTGCAGCCCACTCCCCGGCCCCAGTACGTGCCTAATGCCGTGGATGTTCTTGATAGCGTAGCTGATCTCTCGCCGGAGTTCCTTCTCATCAAACTCCATCTGCGAGGAGAGTGGGGCCAGCGGTTAGGGCTGTCCTTGCTGCTCAGAGGTGACGAAGGGCTCACCTATTCCCCCGGGGTCAGTGGAGGAGCACAGTCAAGAGTCCTGGGAGGGATGGGAGCTCAGGAGGGCCTGGGGCTGCCCCCTACCTTGACCAATTCAAAGGGGAAGCGCTCATGGAAGATCCGGTTAATGCGGGCTCCCCCCGACAGTTCATAGGTGTCAATCTGGTCTCCAGAGCCCTCGATGCGCTTTTCAAAGTCCACCGCGAACTGCTGCACCATCCTGCGGGGAGAGTGGTGTGGGCTGAGGGAGCTAAGAGGCGGGGGAGGCGCGCACAAGTGATGGGTGTGGGGGCTGGGGCCTCACTGCAGCAGGGCCTTGGTCTTGCGTGCAGGGTCATCAGGGCGGAAGTTCTTGTACTCCTCCACCTCCTTCTCAATGGACAGCAGCTGGCTCTGCAGCTTGTTCCGCAGCCCAGGCAGTGTGTCCCGGATGTGGTTCGTCAGTTGCTAAAATGTGGGTGGGGAAAGGGTTAAGACCACAGTTACGAACTCTGAGGCGACAGCACCAGGAGGAGAGGAGTGGATGCCAGGAGGCTGCTGGCTGGCACTCAGAGATGTGTTGTTTGAGTTAAGAAGCACGTAATTCAGTTCTTAACATAAGCCAGAAATCGGAATTTATATTTGAAGTTACCTGAGTTTTAGAAAAAAATTGTAATAACGTGTCAGCTGGGCATGGTGGTACACGCCTGTAATCCCAGGCCTTGGGAGGCTGAGGCAGGAGGATCATAGCAAGTTCAGGCCAGCTTGGGCTACAAAGCGAGCTCAAACCTGAACTGCATAGCAAAACCCTGTCTCAAAAGGCCACCCACTCGGGCTGGGGAGATGGCTCAGTGGAATAAGCGCTTGCCTAGTAAGCGCAAGGGCCTGAGTTCAATCCCCGGTTCTGCCAAAAAAAAAAAAAAAAAAAAAAAAAAAAAAAGACACACACTCAACAATTTCTGACATTGTCAGTCAAGCGGAAGACCCAATACTATTATTGGCTACTCGACTCTTAGAATATTTTGCTGAGTTTACACACTTATAATATTCAAATAACGGAACTTAACAAAAAAAGAGGATACAGATGAATGTCCATTTTGTATCTGTGTATTCAAAGTGGTTAGGATAGATATATAGTTACATTCTCTTAA